AACCGGATCAAGTTTATGGTATTTTGAACAGATCATATAATAAAAAGAAGAGATTGTTTGAAAGAAAAAAGAATGGAAGAGGAGCCTGAACAGCTAAGAATTAACTGTTAATCAAGTGAAAATATAAATTTTTAGGAATCCTGTTGCATAGTTTGTCTTAGGAAAGATATCAAGGCCACAAAAAGGTTTTTGAGCGATAAAGTTAATAACTCGCAAAATTTTAGCCCTGACGGAAAGGATGGTATTGGCAAAAGCAAATTGGGGATTGTCCTTAGGCCCACCTACATTGTGGTAGTAAAAGTAGCGCAGGCTCGTTTTTAAAAATGTTGCTTCTTTTTGTTAAAGTATGCTTTTTAAAAAGAAACACAAAACAAGTGCAATTCAGTTATTTATTGTTGATAATTAAAGCATGGTGTCTACGTTATTTTGAGTTACATATTTGCTCCGATAAAACATAATTAACTACTCGACTAAATCCCAGACTAGGAACTGTGCATGTGTCAAAACTTAAGATGTTAGCATCACGATTCTCTTCAACAATATTTTGTATAGCTTGTGTAAGCTAGGACTGAGGTAGACTATCTCAAAGTCCGTTTTTGTGGGAGCCAAGTGGGGCGGAATACGGAGTTTCCTCACCTGCAGCGCGCCAAACCCAACCGACCAGATTTTAGGTCGGCGGTGTGTCAGGGGGTGTGATAGCAATACTCTCCAATCAGAAACCGTCACGTAATTTGACGTCATTTTCCTGGTAACTTGATCTCCCGCTCCAGTGCGTAGACTGAATCAAAATGAATGTGCGAGAAGCCATAAACTTCGGGTTAAATAAGCTGAATTTCGAAGATATCAGAGAGAATAAACGGAAGGTATTAGAAGCTTACCTCGGTGGCCGAGATGTTTTGATGTTTTCGCCGACACGATCGGGAAAAAGTCTTACCTTTCATATCGCGCCATTTGCGATAGATTTCTTCAAACATGGCGAAAGAGATGATTATCAGACGGTGTGCCTTGTAATTTTTCCTCTGGTTTCGCTAATGAATGACCAAGTGTCTAGCTTAAGTGAAAAAGGAATCAAGGCTGTTGTTGTGGGTCCAGAAAGTTCAGAAACCGAAAACAAGGAAGCCTCAGAGGGCAAATACAACCTTGTGTTCGCAAGCCCTGAAGCTTTGTTTGGTAGTCATCGGTCGACGATTCTCACATTGAAACGGCCTCGATACACAGAACGCAAACCGTTTCCTTCGATTTAGGGGAGATATTGACCCGAGAAATAGTTTTAATTGAGGTCAGGTCATCCATCCTGAGTTATGAATTTTCCAGTAATTATAGAACTGTCTATTTTACATACGAACCGTCCATGACGTCACTACAGTAATTTCCCGCCAACAATATGCAAATTAAATTCGAATCCATGCAGGCGCGACAAGTCGTCTCCTCGCGACTTCGTCGCTCGTTCCTCTGACTTCGTCGCTCGTTTTTCTCAAAGACGAGCATAAAAAGACCACTTGGGGCAAGTCTAGGACTGAGACTGACGCCATCTTTACTTCCGGTGTGCCTTGTTTTCTAGACCTCAAAGAACTACTCAGTTTTGCAATAACCTTCCCGGCCTCAGGTCATTACAAAATTAAAAACACTATGAACCATGGACTGAACTGAAAAATATCTAATCTTAAAAGCCAAACAAGTCATGATTCTGGTAGTGATCTCTTCAAGAAAAAAGAAAACAAAAAGAAATGCAGTGCATCTTTTATAATAAGTGCAAAACGTTTGCTTCGTTTTTCTGGCCAAAAATTGTGCTGGCAGAATCTATTAGGGCCTAGTTGTTCTTTGATTATGCTGTTCTTGATTGTGTTAAAAAATGTAAAAGTCGCCTTAAATTGATCTACTTGTTCTCATTCTTGTATAATATTTTCTTGTTTAAAAGAGTTCGACGAATGTTCCAGTAGTCCGTGCCTAAACGGTGGAACCTGTACTGATGGGATTAACAATTACACGTGTTCCTGTCCTTCTCCATTTTTTGGACGTCAATGTCAAGGTATGCGTGAGATTTACTGACGTATGCATAGGTGCTTATTTTCTAAACTTACGAAGAAGTACAGAACGAAGGATGTGGACTAAAATTGCTAAAGGAAAAGGTGCTCATTCTTAAAATGTCCCCAATATTTTTCTTTTGTTAAAAGACAGATCTTCACTTGTAACGCTGCAGACTCCTTTCTTTTCTCTCTTCGTCAAAATTTCGCCCAAGTAAACGACGAATAAGCAGTTTTACCTAGTGAAATTCAGGCAGGAATGATAAGGTTTAATAAAATCTTCGGATAACCAGACCCTGACTAACCTTAAGCAGCATTGGTAGGTATCATGAAAAACAGAAGCAAATCACCTTTTGCATAATTCATATAATTTTATAAATCCGAGTAGAAGAACCATCGATTCACTGTCCCCAATAACTTTATATCCACAGAATAATTTACAAATAATAAGATTTTCCAGGAACAAAAATAACTTATTTTTGAAACAAAATAATGAAGGACGAACTCTACAACCTATTTTTTCAGAAACAGATGAATGTAAATCCAATCCATGTCTCAATGGTGGAACATGTGTGGATGGAGTTTACAACTTTACTTGTGTTTGTCCAAGCTTGTACGATGGAAGGCGTTGTGAAGGTACATCACTCCAGTCAAATTATCACAGTTGTATGAGATATTTAAATAGTGTTAATTTTGATGACTGCATAAACCATCTAAAGGGGAATGAAAGGGGAATTTGTAATCGGCTTCTCAGGGTCAATGCAACAGTAGCTTTGCTTCAAAGAAATTGCATCGATAATTTTTCCAATATTCAGCGGAATGCTAGCACAGATTAAATAACTGCAAATTAAGTTATCACAAATTACGAATGTTTTATCATAGTTGGTGCCTCTAAACTATTTGTCAATTTTCAAGCACGAAAGTTTGCTACAATGATGCTCCATATTAGCCTTTATC